TTTTTGCGTTGGCGGCCTTCGGCCGCGCTTCAAAAAAAATAACCCTGGTGAATTCAACACCGGGGTGTACCAAAGTTTTTACGCGCAGAAATTCTTTTTGCGTTGTTTCCTGTATTTAGGGTACAATCTGTCTGTTTATTTTATTTTTCTTCGTTTACAAAATATATTAGTATGGCAACACTGATGTTTTGACATTCACAACCATTTTGTTATTGTCAAAATTAATAATATTGAAGAATGATTTAAATATTGAAATAAAGCTATTTAGCAGCATCTAATATAAAAAAAATTTCTAAAAACGAATTATTCAAGTTTTAGTGGATATAAAAGTGAAAAATATAAGTGTATAATTCATTTTATATCGCAAAAATACGTACTTTAAATAGTTGAAATTTTCAACTTTAAACGTAAATATCTCGAAAACTATAAGTTTCCCGCGGCTATATCTATGTATATATATTCTTGATCTGGAGGATCTCCTCTATCCGCACATACCCATTTTATCCCCGAAAGCCTGGCCTTATATACTAAAGCCGACCCAAATATATAAGTGTATAATTCATTTTAAATCGCAAAAATGCGTACTTCAAATAGTTGAAATTTTCTACTTTAAACGTAAATATCTCGAAAACTATAACTTTCCCGCGCCTATATATACCTAAGTTCAGTTTCTTATAGTAAGTGTTTAGATTTACCGGATTCATCATTAACTTCTCCAATTTCAACCTTTGCAAATCAGTTGCCGTTTTTATAACAGCTCGGGTGTTTACTCTCTCAGCACACACTATAGAATCCATTTAAACTTTTACGTTGATTAAACACAACAAACGTGAATAATTTTTTACGAGAAGATAAACTGAGATGTTTACTAAATCCTAGGCAAGGTAGGATTAATCAAATGAATAACATTAATCGAGTTTTATTCAGAAAGTTAAAGTTTTCTGATTAATCGATTCATTAATCGATAAATAGATAAAATAATTACAACCTTTTCATTATATCTGTACTTTTACACACAGATTTTTTTGTAACCCAAACCGGTTTATTGTAGGCGAGGGGACGACGAGGAAAGACGAAGGGACCGTGCCACTCGTGTTCGGGTGGCACGCTTTGTGTTCTTAGTCCTAACAGCTCGCTGCTACCCTTTTCAGCATTCCCTTTCACTTTCAAATTCTTTGAATGGTTGCAAGAGCGCTTGGTTTCAAATGAATTCGTTTACAAATTTGAATTCTGTTATCTATTTTTTGTATGTAATATGAAAATATCTATGCATAGAATAATAGAAATATTTTGAAAAATTGTAAATAAGGAGAAAATTAAGATATAGATTATGGAGTTAGAAAATTATGAATTTTTAATACTTAAAGATTAGGAAATTCTTGTTATAAATTTGGCCTTGAAAATATTAGTAGAGGATATTCAAAACATTCTGGTGGATTAGGGAATTCCCGTCTTAAGTATTTCTTTGAAACTATTAAGCGGGTAGGTATTATGCATATTGTTCTACCATATTCATGGTAATTCATTGCATGCAAAATGTGTGACCATCATCTCAACATACAAATGAAATATGCAACACGCTCTAAGTGTTGCGCCGTCGAACCGCACAAATATTTACGAAAGTTTTGTGAAAAGCAATGCAGAAAAACTAGACTCGAGTTGTTGGACTCATTTTGCCCGTGTGAATGTACAGAGCGACACCAAAAGAGAATTTGAAAAATATTAGGGTCAAAAGAGTCCCAATGTAAAAGCCGTCTTAAATTCTACTACTAAAGTCACACTTGGTACGGGTTGCCAACCAATATTCTACTACTAAAACGTCCAAATAACACATATCTCCTTTAGTGTGTTGCCGTGTTATGTTTTAAAATTTATAAATTTAAGAATGTTTTTATTACATATTCAAATATTTTTCAGTTGTTTTAATTCCAAAAGATTGAATATACATAGTATTATTCATTATTATTATTCATTGTATTGAAATATTATTAAATGTTTCCAATTTTATTATATTGTGACGAACAGAAGTACCATAACAAATCAGAATTAACGATAAACTAGCAAAAGCAACTAGACAGCGAATTCGTAGTTGCCTGAATGTTCTAGTAGCGAACTTTTGTTAAAAATTTACTCTATAAGGGCTGCCGGATTGTGCAGCAGACACAGTTCTTATTAGAGTGTTGCCGTGTAAAGAGCAATTAAGCTATAAGCAATAAGTTGTAAAATCGAATATCGAGCAATAGCTGTTAAGTTGTTGGCATTAGAAATAAAGATAAGTGTATAGCATTAAATTGGGACTTTAATTTGACAATCCAGTGATCGAGCTCAAGAATGAGTTATAGTTAGACGATTTATCGAGAAATCTGTTATAATTGGTGTTAGAAGTGGGATTGTCAAATAAATTCCCAAAGAGATAATTATTTGAAAATGGCCAAGTTGAACGATCTCAAGATTCCACAACTGAAAAAGGGAGCAGGAACAACGTGGTTTGCCGACAAATGCTGAATTACAATCACGGTTGAGAGAGGCCATGGAGGCGGAAAACATTAATGTGGAGTAATATGTCTTTCACATGGAATTAGAGGAAGAGACAACAAAGATAGAAGAAAAGGAAGAGGCTCAATGCTCGTCAAAGATTGTGGACATAAACATGATTTTTGCTGCAATATCGCAGATGGGGAAAGAGATGTCAACGCAAATGTCTCAAATGTCAACGCAAATGTCGACACAATTGAAAGAGCAGGATACACGTATGTCTCAAATGGAAACGCGATTGTCAATGCATTTGGAAGAGCAGTTCGCAGGGCAAGATGCACGAATATCAGCACAGGTGTCCTCACAGTTGAAAGAGCAGGTGGCACGGATATCGCAGGTGACCTCACAAATAGCAGGAGTATCCTCACAGATTTCGGAAGAGGGAGATAAAATTAAAACTGAAATGGATGAATTAAAAGATCGTCTCCGCGAGCTACAATTAAATCGGCCAATTGTGTCAACAGCTTCTGAAAAGGTAAATGGCACTGTTCCGTTCCACGTCTTTAAGCTTCAATTTGAAAAGACGGCATCTTCAAATAATTGGAACGCTGAAGATAAAGTAGCTGCATTGTTCGTTGCATTAAAAGGATCTGCAGCGGAGATATTACAGACATGCATTTATTTATTACAGGGTGCATTAGAAAGACGGTATGGTAGTGAGCACAGGAAGCACATCTTTCAAATGGAGTTGCGAAATCGCCGCCAGAAGGCCAATGAGTCGTTGTAGGAGTTTGCTACAGGGATTGAGAGGTTAGCTCACTTAGCTTATGTACATAAATCCATGGAATACATCGAGGACACGAAAATTCAGACTTTCGTCAATGGAATACGAGATAACACTATACGCTTCGCTGCATTAGCATGCTCACAAAGTAGAAATAGAGAACACACTTGGGTGAACCAATTACTTGAAAATTGACACATGCAGAAAGCACTGGAAAATCTACGAAGCGCATAGAAAAAATGATGGTATGCTTAATGCTTCAACTGCGGAAAAGTTGCCATATTGCACGCAACTGTAACCAGCCCAATAATCCAGTTGGACGTAAACGCAAAGCTAAGGAAATCAAGCAAATGTCAAATCAAACCAATTGTTAAACTAAAGCGAATAAGCAGGAATACGAGTAACGTTACCGTTAGTTGATGTGTAGACGGTAAAAAGCGCATACTGACTGTGGATACGGGCGCATCACATTCCATAATTCAATCTGATCTGGTTGAGAAAGAAGTGAGACCGTTAGCTGGGGCAAAGTTGCGTACTGCAACTGGAGAAGATACCTAGTTCTCGGAAAGGTAACGGGCGAGATCGTAATTGAAAGGCAGCCGTGTTACACAATTTATAGTGGCAGATATCGTTGACGAAGTCATAATTGGAGTAGACTTTCTAGCGAATCAAGGAATCAAAATTGACATGAAAACAGGATTATGTCCTATAGAAATATGGAAGTGCCACTTATGTTCGGTTATGATAATAAGAACAATGTTAGACGAGTGATAACAAGAGTGCCAGCAGATTCCAACAACATCAGAAGCAGTTATTTGGGCAGAAATAGATGGAGATTATGGGCCAAACAAGTGGAGAGTGTTGAGCCCACAAAAAGATCTTCACCAACTCACTTATAGGCAAAACCCTGGCTATGACAAGGCAAGATAAACGTTTCTAGTAAGAGTACTTAATGAGTGCAAGTTACCAATCAAACTCTCCAAAGGAGCTATATTAGGCAATCAAGAGATTGAGGCCGTGATAAATTGCGAAATACGTCTTGAGGAAGATTCCATGGACGAAAACGATATATCGAGTGAAATTAACGCATGGACTGAGGACTAGAGGCAAAATATCAAGCTATGGCTAAACAACTTCATCTCAGATACTCATCCATATTTGATAAGATGATGCCAAACCAGATGAACAAAGTGAGAAACATTTATTAACATAGGTGATGTAAGACCAATCACCAGGCTGATCGAAGCGTTCCACTAGGAAAACGTGAAGCTGTAAGCCAGACCATACGTGAAATGAGCGAAAGCATCGTAACCGAACCATCAGCGAGTCCATGGAGTGCACCTGTAGTACTTGTGAAGAAGAAAGATGGCAACATGAGGCTCGGTGTGGATCAGAGAACGTTAAATTATGTAATGAAGAGTATAGTTATTCACTACCTAGAATCGATGCCTTATTATCAGGCACTAAATTGTTCTCAACAAAGTGATTACTGGCAAGTGGAGGTAAATCAACAAGACAAAGAAACGTAGCTTTCGGCGTTGAAGATGGTCTATGGCAATTTACCGTATGCCCTTTGGATTATGTATACTCCTGTTACCTTTGAGAGACTTATAGTCCAGGTATTAGAACGATTGCACTGGAATACCTGTTGTATACCTCGACGATATCCTCGTGTTGGGTAAAAGCTCGATGAACACCTTAAGATTTGCCGAGGTTTTCCAACGGATAGCTAGTGCTGGTCTAAAGCTGAGTCCGAAAAAGTGTTACCTTTTCAAACAGAAGTAAGCTACTTAGACACAAAGTGAAACGGAGGGCATTTGCACAGCTAATGAAAGATCGAGACAGTAAGAGATTGGCCCACTCCAAAAATTTACATGATTGCGGAGTTTCTTAGGACTATGTACTTATTATGACGTTCCAAATTTTACCAGCGTAGCTAGTAGCCTCCATGAACTCATTCAAAGTACCGAGTTTTTGAATGGAATAAAAACAAGTGGCTTTCAACTCGAAGAAACGGTTAAGTACTGCGCCAATGTTGGCATACCCGGTCCAGGATCAATGTTTTTTTGGATACAGATGTTAGTGGATTTGCAGTAGGAGGCGTTCTATCACAAGCCATTGATGGGCATGAGAAAGTGGTTGCGATTTCGGGTGAGGACAGATCATGCAGCATTAAAATGGCTTCTACAATTCAGAACCAGAACGACAGTTGGCACGGTGCATTGAGAGACTCAAAGTTACGACTTTTCTGTAGAACGCGCAAAGTAGCAGTCATGAAATTCTGATGACATGTCCAGCCGTCCATGTAATTTGGAATGCAGACATTGTCTAAAGCTGAGGCCAAAAAAGACATTATAGATGTCCGATTAATGCTATAACATCAGACTGGAATCCCGAGGAGCTACGGAAATGTCAGCAGAGGATCCAGATTTAAAAGTGTAATACACGGATTGGAGATGAATAAACGTCAACGAGAGAAGAAATAGCTGCAGAAAGCCCAGTCGCAAAGGCTTATTGGGCACAATGGAATAGTTTAAGTTAGTGTCTGGCTGCTTGCAACGCGTATGGGAAAGGTGAAGATGGGCAAGTTACGAGCTCTGATGATTACTGCAAAGTAGAATTCCTAAAGTTCTCAACGAGCTGCACACGTCCAAGTGGAGGACACATGGGTATCAATAAACATTGGAGAAATTAAACAAAGATTTTATTGGGTTGGTTGTCGTCAATCAGTTAGGAGAGGATCGCCAATTGTGTCGAGTGCATTGTTGCTAAAGGCCGCGGTCCAGAAGTCATGGTCAGATAGAAGT